TAAGTCTGAATGTCTTATGCAGTTTATTTCTTTAGATTTGTTCCCTCAAAAAATTGTTTTTTGATCCTTCTCCTAAAATAACAGAAACTATCTATCAAAGGAAAAATTTAACAGCTAATGACATTTCAGATACAAATTGTTCAGTATTTTGGAGGAAACATCCTGGAGATTAGGAGTAAGAGAGCAAATATACTAGAGGAATTTCCATTCCTATAAAACTATTCCTTCATTAGTCTTAGAAATTTGAAATTTCATGAACTGCTTTCAAATTTTTAAGGAGATTTACACTATTTCACTTGACTTCCTTCAGAAGGAAAAGGTGGTTTGTAATTTTTCTTTAGCAGTGTCATTTTAACACAAGAATAGGTGATGCTGACATACAAAGTTCTATATACTCTTACATGGGTAATTCAAGAGTCAATGTTGTTTAGACTATAAGCACATAAAAATGAGCATATGGAACTATTTATTTGCTTGTTTTGGTGTTTTCAATTGAAAAAGCTGAATTTACTTTTTGGAGCCCAAGTTAGATACTGGGCTTGATTTCTGTAGTCAATGCCTATGTTGCTAACTAGTATCTTCTAGCAGATTCATCTTTCAGTATTATGGCATATTCAAGTAGCAGATTAGCTTAATAAAAAAATCGCTACTGATCTACTTGCAGGTACTGGATATTTTTTCTTGGTGATAAAGTATATTGTGAGATTTAAACTTCAACAATATTTCATACAGTTGTTTACAACTATTATATTTAATTTTGGTGGTGGTGGTGGTGGTCATTGTCATGGGGCTTGAACTCCGGGCCTGGCGTTGTCCCTGGGCTCTGATCAGCTCAAGGCTGTTCTCTACCACTTGATCCACAGTGCCACTTCCAATTTTCTGGTGGTTAATTGAAGATGAGTCTTGCAGATTTTCCTGCCTGGGCTGGCTTTGAACCACAATCCTCAGACCTCAGCCTCCTGAGTAGCTAGGACTATAGGCATGAGCCACCGGCTCAAACAAAATTTCTAGAAAGAAAATTAAAGAACGAAGGATTCTTCAATTATTTTTGGCTTCCAACTTGCACTCTTAAAATTCCTATGCCTTCCTCCACCCCCACACACCTATCTGCAGCCTGCCAAAATGAAGGGTATAAGCATCAGTGTGAACCAATGGAAAGATTGCATTTCTGATCAAATCTTTAAAGTCAGTTATATCTGATTATGTAATGCTGTTCCCTAAATCTGTAGCATCCTACCCTAGATCAGGAAGGAAATCTGGTACTCTGAAAATGTACCTTTCAGCTTCAACCACAGGTTCTAAAGTTAGACAAATCATGTTAGAAACCCAGTTTTCTTGTTTTCTAGCAGTTTATACCTGGATAAGTTATTTAACCATGTAGGGTCTCTGTTTTCTTAGTACGTGAATACAAGGGGAAAAAATCTATTTAGATATGTGAGAATTAGAGAAAAGATACATAGTGAACACAATGTCTGGCATATTATTTTAGCATTTTTGTAATTTTTACTTTTGTTCTACTGTTCTGAGGAATTTTTGAAATACAACTGAGGTAGAGAATGTAGAATTCAATCTCCGAAGTTCTTATTTTGAAGGTCATTCAAAAAATGTTTTTCATGATGAAAAAAATACCTTTGAGTCTAACATCTTTATAAAGCAGAATTTGTTCTTGCTTCCAACAAGGCCTTTTCTTTAATGCAAAGATTCCTTAGAGAAAAAGTACTATCCTCAAAAACATACATTTTAGAGATCTACATACAACTAATTATACAATTAGTTAATTGATATTATGATCAGTGTTATAAAGTACACTAAAAAGTGGGCAATGGCCTAAAAAGATCAGAACTAAAATTCCCACCTCCAAGATTTTAATCACTCCCTTTCTATTTAAACCTAATCCAGACCTTTGAATAGACTTAATCTGTTTGCTTTTTCAAAACAACAAAAATAAGTAATTAATGTGACCCTGGGTAGGTAAAGTTCATAACTGTACAGTAAATTTTAGAAAGTATACAACCTATAAATTAGTGTTAAACATTTTATAGTGAATTCTTGGACAGAAAGCAAAAATACAATATAGGTAAGCACTTGTCAACTACCCACTATGACCTCAGGTAAGGAAGCACATTTCTTGATAGACTATTAAACCAGTTTGTGTGTTTTGTGTTCATGTCATCATTCTCAATAATTTTTCAGAATGCTTTAATTAAGGTGCATATTACTTACTAATAAATTATAAATTGCTTTTAAAAACCAGTTCTAATTTTCTTATATAAAATTACTTGTCCCTTAGCTATTCTTTAAGAATTACAAACAAAAGTCTATTGACATCCTTTTAATGACAACTTGAAGATTCCTACTTTCAGAAATCAATATACAGAAGTAAAACAGTGCCTGTAAATTCTCAAGTAAGCAATAAGGAGGAAAACTGAGTAATCACATCAACTCTCCAACCAAAATGAAACTAAGTTTATTATATAAAACAAAACCTATCTCAATGTTTATTTTAGAGTCAAACAACAGTCACCTAGAAATTAATGCAAAGACAACTCAGAACAGTCATTGTCAATTCTCCAAAAGTGGCCTCTTCACCTATATTTAGTTCATAAGCAAGCCAGTCAAGAAGTCTGGCTGCCAATTGCAATGAATGGAAGAAATATATTTAAATCAAATAGCACCATCTAGCAGAACCCTCATCACTTTGCTCAGGAGAGTGGATATTACTTGTTCAGTTTGGTAGATTTAACAGTAAAAGTAGCAATTATTTGTTTTCAATGACAGAATATCAGAATTTGAGCTAAAAAGGACAGACACATCAGCCCAAACTTCCTGATCTCAGCACTAAAAATAATAATAAACAAAAATCAGTATAAAATCATCAGGATCAACTTAGATTCAGTAAAACCTCTGACCTATCCTTGGGAGTCCAGGTAAAACCCAGAATTATTTCCTCAAATTCAGTTACCCCAAATATAAATAAGATATTCAATATATTTCAATCCCTTCATTGCCAGTAATGTAAAAGCAAATATTCTGTAATCACCAAAACATCCTCCTTCAGATATATGACAATCAAATGATTGAAAGTGCACAAATCAGTCTGTGTTTCAAAACTTCAATTTCAGCAACTACTGCTCTTTGTTAACCTAGAGATAATGCTATGTCTTCCGTATTTCCTTGCCATCCCAACAATATCCTAAATGTAGCTCCTCAGAAAATATCTCTGGAATAATGTCTCAGTTGTTGTGTTTTGTTTTGTTTTTCTACAAGGCCTGCCACCTCTAAATCCTAGGGGAATCAGTGTGTTGATGCCAATATGAAGATTAAAAAATGCTCCCATCCCTGGGGCACAAGAAACTTTCAGGGGGAGACTGACAAAATCAAGCCAAAGAGAGAAAAACTCCGTCGTCTGTTCACTGGATCTGTATTTACACGGCGATTTCTCTACGGGAAGGGCACCCAGAGTACCTCTAAGAGATGCTCCCACTTTTCCCAAGTCTGAACTCCTCCAAAAATAAATAAATAAATAAATGTACGTAGATTCAGTGACAAGGACAAGCCTGAGCCCTGCAGTTCAGGTGGTTACTGGTAATCTCTCTGATGTGCTGCACAAGGGGGGGTGGGCAGGTGGGGGTCCGGGGGGAGGGGCGTTCTTCCTCAGTAGTCACAGTCACTATCCGCTCTCATTTTTAGTAACAACCAAATCACCGTTACAAGTACACAAGAATAGCAGCAAACAACCCTGCCTCGCAGCGCGCCGTGACAGTGGCATCCCGGGCCAGGCGGGGTTCCTTCCGCGCCAGCCTCTCTCGGGATCCCACCGAAGTTAACACCTGTATCTGCCCCACAACCCCCACCGAGCCGCGTCTGCCTACCTCCATGCTTCTCCCCTTCTCCCCACCCCTTTTCGGACCGCTTCCCCCTCCCCGCCGCGGAAAGCCCCCCCTCCACACACACACACACACACACACACACACACACACACACACCCGGCGGTACTGGGGTGCGCACCCCTCCCCCTCCGCGTCCCGCGACCACCGCCCCACGGGGACCGGCCCGCCGCCCGCCCCCCCCCCCACGCACACACCCCGACGTCTAGGAGACTGCAAGTCTGCACAAAAAGTTCTCCAGCCAGCCGCCGTGGCGTGGCGTCTGCAGCGAGGGGCAGAAATGTCCGTCTCCCCCGGCAGACCTCGCTCCGGCCAGAGCACTTTTCCTCCCGGAACTCGGTCCTCCGCTGCCTCCCCAAACTTCAGCAGTGTCCCCGGCGCCCACCCGCCCCGGCCTCAACCCTCCACGAGACGCCGGGTACCGCAGACACGCGAGTCCCTTCGCCGCCGGAGAGGGAAAGCCCCGACGCCACCCGGCCCACGCCCGGCACTCGCCCTCCGCGCCCCGCGCGCGCGTCTCCGCGCCCCGCGGGGCCCCGCTCGGCCGCTCCGCGCCCGGCTTCCGCCCGCCGCGCGCCCGGCCCCGCCGCCCTCGCCTCGCCGGGCGATTCCCAGCTCCGAGCCCCGGCGGCCCCGAGCCCCGCCGCGGCGCTCCCCGCGCTGCCCCGCCGGACACCATGCGCCCGCCGCACGCCCTCCTCCACGCAGCCCGCCCGCCCGCCCCGCGACCCCGGAGGCTCCCGGGGTCCCCGCGGTCTCCGATCCCAGCTCCAAAGTTACTTTGTGAGGAGGTGAAGCCGCGGGTTATTTCCCTCCATCGTCCAAACAAGTTTCCATCCTCGCCACCAGAGCCGCCGCCGCCCCCCCCCACCAGCATATTCGCTCCCTCCCGCCGACAGCCCCCCACGGCCACCCGCCCCGAGGAAGCGCCTCCCGGGAGACAGCCGCTCCCCGCACCGCACGCCCCCACCCCGCGCACCCCTCCCCCTGCCAGCCCACCCCCGGCTCTCCCCGGGCGGAGAGTGTCTGTGTGTCTCCCAGAGAGTGTGCGAGTGCGTGCGTGAGTGTGCGCGCGTGTGAAGGCGGAGGTGGGTGAGAAGCGGGGACACTTACTTCTCCCGGGCCTGGCTGTCGGACGGGACGGCGCTGCTGTTACTCTTGCCTTTGCCGTACATGCTTGTGCCGAGAGCAGCTCCCACTGTCACGCACCTGTCAACCCATCACAGCCTCCCCGGGAACAGCCCCGTCCCCATGGCGACCCACGCAGCCACCCCCACTATTGGCCGCCCCACGCCAAAGCTCCGCCCTCTTCGCCCAGGCAACGCGCGAGACTGACAGGCCTGCCCCCCCTCCCTCCCTCCCTCCGGCCTTCCGAAGCGCGCGGTGGCGGCTACAGCCTAAGCGGCAGTCTCCTCCCTCCTTCCCTCCCTCCCTCGCCGGCTCCCTTCCTCCCTTCTTCCCTCTCCGCTCTCCTCCCTCCTCCCGCTCTCCTTCCCCCCTCCCCCCTCCGAACCCGGGCGCAAGGGGGGAATTAGAAACTGCTCTAGAAGGATTTTAAACAACTGGCTGTTCCCTGCGCCGCCGGCCCTCCCCCCGCGCCGCCCGCGCTCCGCTCCTCACTGGAGAGAAGGCGCCGGGAGGAGGGGAAAGTGTGGCCTGGAGTCTCCGGCAGGAGCCGGCGGAGCTGGAGCCGCGGCCGCCCCAGACTTCGGGGCGCCCGCCGTGTACCGACAGACCCGCGGCCCCAGCCGCCCCTGGGGCTCCCCACCGGCCTTCTCCCCCGTTCCCCTCCAGCCTGTGACCCCGCGCCGGTACCCACGGCTGACCCCTGTCGCGCACGGCCCTACTCCCTAGGGTGTCGCCCCACCCCACCCGGCGCCCAGCTCCCCGAGGGCGGGCGGGATGGCGAGGACGCCCTCTCTGTTCCCTCGACCTTCTGGCTGAGCGACCAGGTGCCATTCCCCGGCCCTCTCGGGGAGGGACTGCGCCTCCGGACCAGGGCGCCACTGTGGTGGCGTCGCTGAGCTCCCAGGGCCGCGCCCTGTCCCCCAGGGGCGCACCCCTGCTCCCAGCCAGCCTCCCCAGAGCGGAGCAGACCTCCCCCGGAGGCCCAGGGACCGATTCCCGCACCGCCGTGCCCCGCTGCCCCGGCCCCTTCCACGCAGGCACACCGCCCATCCCGCCAGACCTGCCGCCAAAAAGGCCCCAGGCAGCCCCGCACCCATCCAGTCTCCACGGTTTGGGTGGGTGATGCCTGCTCATTCTGACCCCCAGACTGCAAATGGCCAGGGGAAGCTTTGAAAGACGTCCCTGCCCTTGCCAGTCGTTCAGGCCCCTGAGCTCCAAGGGGAGCCAAGCTCTGCCAGAGCTGAAACACTGCCTGAGCATATTTCTGGATTCAAATCCCTAATCCCATTTCAGCCAATGCGCAAAAGTTTCTGAACCACACACAACCTGGTTTCTGATAGAACTCCATCCTCTACAGAACTCAGCGATTCTTGGCTGTAAAATCAGACAGGGTGCAAATGGGGCCGAGCGAAGAATTGGGCTTCAGGTGGGAGGTGAGCTGAGAGGACTTGGGGATGGGACAGGGAAACATCAGAAAAAGATGACTAAAGGAACAGCTAGGCAAAGGGTGAGGTGACAACATTCACTTAAGGAAAGGTACTTGACTACACAAAAACAACATTAAGCATTTAGCCATAGGATCATAAAAACGCATTGAGAGACAGAGATGGATGGAATGGAGAGAAATGGGCTTTGAGGGGCATTGATACCAAGTGATAGAAATAAAATCAACAGAAGGTTAAGGAAAGGCAGTAAGAATGAAACGTAGACAATTGAAAATGGGTTTATCAAACAAACAAAGTCTGATAAATAACGAACAGAAAGAAATCTTTAAGGAAATTAAGGGGGGGAATGAGAGGTGTAAAAAAGAAAGAAGAATACAAGAAACAGGATTCAACAAAGCCTTAGAATGTAACAAAAGCATTAGAGGACAGACATGATATAAAGAAGAAAAATAAAAACACTTCTGTTTAAATAATAATGATCAAACTAATAAAAGAAGGGAATATAAAGTACAAAAATGACATTGGCATAAATACATTAATTCTCACCCCCAATAAGGAGAATTGAACCCAAGGCCTTACACATGCTAGAGAATTGCTTACTTAGTAGATTTAGTTCAAAAAGAATTGCCTTCTGCAGAATGACCTACAATGATTGGTTAGTTGGAATAGGATATACAGAGTCTCCTTCCTGTTTCTTAAGTCTAAGCTACAATGATTTTTGTGCCAAGGACATTAACAGAAAGAGTAAGGTTAGATAGTCTGTTGTTTTGTTTTGTTTTGTTGCTTTCTTGTTTCTTTGTTTGGTCTTTGTGCTAGTAGCAGGGTTTAAACTCAGGACCTTGAGCTCTCCCTCAGCCTTTTTCTCTCCATGATGGTGCTCTACCACTTGAGCCTTACCTCAAGTAGTTAACTTGATGGTTTATTGATTAAGATGGAGTCCTGAAGACTTTTCTGGCTGACTTCAAACCTAGAGCCTCAGATCTTACCCTCCTAATCTTGAGTACCTAGGATTACAGGCGTGAGCCACTGGTATCTGGCAAGCCTTGTGTGTGTGTGTGTGTGTGTGTGTGTGTGTATTTGCTCAAAAAGCTCAAATGTGTGTATGAATGATAATGATTATAGAGACTACTTTCAAGATTAGCATTACAAAATTTGTTATCCAATTTTCTTTCCACTAGCTTTAACCCCCGATTTTTTCATTTTCTTCCTTTCTTTGTCTTTCTTTCTTCCTTCCTTTCTTTTTCTCTCTCTTTTTTTTGTAGCATCTTAATGGTCCATTACCTATAGAATTCTCCATATAAGAATTCAGGTGCTGCTCAGAACACTATTAGGGACAGACTCCTGACAGGTGCTAATCTACCTTCCTTTAAAAAGTTAAGATCTCTGTTAAAAACCATGGATGGGTTTGGTGCTGTTACAAACAAACAAACAAAACAACACAAAGAAAAAGCAGGGTAGTTATTATCCTTACACTGATGTTGAAATTCTTTTATCTGTGGTTGTCCGTCATAGTGCCTTAGAATTGCCTTAGGATTTATTTTTGTAGATTGACTGAATCAGAAATCTGGGGGTGGAGGGGCAGGCAACCCAGGCAGTAGTATGCTCCCTTCCTGTGATTCATATGTATAAGCAGGACTGCTCATTATTGTGTACATATTTACAGATAGTCAATGGGTACCATTAGAGCTAAGAAGCAAGACTTTAGGTGATAGCTGTATAGAGCAGTTTGTCCTTCTGTAAGTCCTTAAGATGTTCCTTACAGGGGACTTTACTTTTTACCACTGAAGCCAACCAACTTGTTAATAAGATGAAAATATGTGACCATATATATTCTTAGTGTACAAGAGCACAAAGAGTTTAATGTACTATGTTCTAAAGAGAAAGAAAAATGAAAAAGCCACAGAAACTATTTGCTGTCCATCACTGGAATTTACTCATTTAATTTACTATTAATTTATGGATAATAGCATATGTTCTGGTATTTAAAGAATAAATTATAAGTCTACCCAGTAAGGTATAGAATTCATAACAATTTGGTGTTTGTATCTGGAAAGAATGAAATACTAAAAAGGTCTTAATTCAGAACTTGCCAAGTTAATGCCCAGACTTACCTTTACAATAATGTTATTCAATGAATATACAAAATAAAAATATGACTTTTATAATATATGTACCCCGGATACGGTAACCTTAAAGCTCAGGTGATCAAATCAATTATCATTAAAACAGCTCATAGCTACCTGAACAGTCTCTGTTCTATTTTCTTCTTAATGTTTACACATGTAAATATAATGCTTCTTTGCCCTTGTTCAAATTATTTTGAGTACAAAGAGTGTTCTTTGCATCAGCAACAGTACCTCCTGGGACCAATATTGTAATTAATGAGATTTGAAGCACAAATTCGGAGCCAAATTTGAGATTCCCAACACAGAATTGAAGACCCATTGTTTTGTTTGTTTTCATTTTTAAAATGAAAGAAGAGCCTGGAGATTCAAAGCTTTCTCATTTTAAAAAAATGCAATATATTTTCGAGGTTTTTCTAACCCCATAACAGACTGATTAATTTGGGAAGGCTAAAATTTTAGGTGAGGGGATATTGACAGGTGAACCACTAGAATGGAACCTTTACATTTAAGGGGTTTGTTTGTGTGTGTGTGTTGTAGCTTTATTCTTTCAAATATAGAACACACATTTAATTGCTAAGTTTACACACACATGCACACACACACCGCTTTGTTTGGGCACGTATGCACAATTTTCTCTTTCTGAAATCTGTAACTTATTCTTGGAAATCTTTATCATTTCAAAACAGGCAGTTCATTATACTACTATGCTCAAATGCTAGATTGACTATACATTTCTTTGGTCCTAATTTTTTTCTTTGTTTTAAGGTTAATGTCTACATTATTACAGTGCATGGAACTGTAAAAAAAAAAAAAAAGGCTTTCTTTGTGGTAAATAGGACAAATAGATTCTCTCTTTAGGTTTAAATGGAAGCTAAATGTTGAATTTAATTATTTGAATCATGTAGAGCACTTAGCATGTTAGTTTTTTTTTAAGGGGGGGGGAATCTATAATCCTAGCTTATTCAGGAGGTTGAGATATGAAAATCAGTTCAAAGCAAGCCCCAGGCATGAAAGTCTGTGAACCTCTTATCTTTAGGTAACTACCAAAAAGCCAATCAGAAGTGGCCAGGCGCTGTTGGCTCACGCCTGTAATCCTAGCTACTCCAGAGGCTGAGTTCTAAAGATCATGGTTGGAAGCCAGCCTGTGCAGGAAAGTCCATGAGACTCTTATTTCCAATTAATCACATAAAAAGAAAAAGGAAAGCCAGAAGTGTCACTGTAGCTCAAATGGAAGAGCCCTAGCCTTAATCAAAAAAGGTCAGAGACAGCACCCAGGCCCTGAGTTCAAGCCCCAAGACTGGCACACAAAATAATTTAGAATACAAAATATTTACTTAAAAAAATACAAACTAAAAAAGAGAAAAATAAAAATAAACCATTTGTACATTAAAACTAAATGTTTTTTGGGAGGATTCAACTTTCCAAAAAGCACAACTGTCCTATTTTAATAAAATCAGTCTGTTTATACAAAATTACTCAGTTGCATTCACATCACTTTTCATTTCAAATAATGTAGCAGATATTTACATATTAATACTAAATCCTAGTTAGTGATATTTTC